ATGTGGCGTATTGTTTTATGCTGGATAGAGTAAGGGGTGATGAATGGATAGAACAGGTCTTTTCTCGGATTAGATGGTCCCGAGAGCATGTTTTGCCTGTCCAGTTTGGCTACCATATCAATTTCCTGATCTAGGGACTCTGCCGTGTAACCTTTATCTAGGAACCTTTGTCTTAGAATTTTTACTTTTTCATGATAGGCTCCAATTTCTGTACAGTTACGCCTTATTCCTCATGAATTGACTCTTAGGAATGCTACTCAGCCACTGTGGATGGTGGCAACTATCAGTAGGGATGTAGCTGTTCCTATCTGATGGTTTAAAGTAAGCTTCGGTACTGCAATATCCTCCTCTATTAAAGATGGTAATGTCTAAAAAATTCACACAGTTGGTACTATACTCATAAGAGAACCTGATGTTAAGATTATTATTGTTAAGTGTACCGAAGAAACGGATAAGGGAAGCTTCTTCACCCTGCCATAGGAGGAGGACATCATCTATATATCTCTTATAGAATAACAATTCTGGCCATTCTCTGGAATAGATGATGTCCTCCTCCCTCCACCTTGCCATAAATAGGTTGGCCAGGCTAGGGGGCGAATTTAGCACCCATTGCCACACCTCTGGTCTGTAGATAGAAATTATTACTAAACCAGAAGTAGTTGCTTCTCATTGCAAAATTCAGAACATCCAGGATGAAAGTTTTATGTGTGGTGGAAACGTTGTTAGCTAAATTGAGATAATAATCCGCAGCTGACATGCCGTCATCGTGATTGATGTTGCTATACAAAGATGCGACATCAGCTGTCACCAAAAAAAGTTTGTCAGTTCGGGATTCCAGTTTAGGGTACTTGACTTCATTTAATACTTGTTTAGTATCTTTAATATAGGCCGGAGTAGCAAGAGACCAAAGGCTGTAAAAAGTAATCTATATACTGTCCAACTTTGGACCATAGGGACCCAATACCACTAGGTCTGCCAGGGATGTGTGTGGCGTTTTTATGTACCTTTGCAGGTAATAAAAAAACGGTAGTCTTGGTGACTTGGGGCATAGAAAATCTTTTTCTTTACTATTGATTACATGGAGTTCGTAATCCCTGTTTGATGAGGTTCTTTAGGGTACGTTTAAATGCAATAACTGGATCCTTAGGAAGTGTGTGTAAGTATCCCTGTCTCCAAGGATGTTTAAGGCCTCAGCTATGTAGTCTCTTTTGTTTAAAACGACTACACAACCTCCCTTGTCAGCAGGCCTGATAACTAGGTCCTTATTGTTCAGCAGCGATTTGAGGCCTATTTCAAGATCTTTGGGTTTACGAGGATGCTTGATCTTAATGGCCTCTAAATCTTTAATCACTAATTCCTTAAAAACATTAATGTAAGACTGTTTATGTGGCGGGGGATTAAAAAGAGATGCATTGCGAAGATTGGAGTGATGAGAATTGATGGTTAGGTTATTAGAAGCTGTGACTTTGCTCATAAAATGCCTTTTAATTGACAGTTTCCTTGCAAAATTGTGTATATCTACATATGTTTGAAATTTATTAAGTTTAGTTTTTTTGGTGCGTATTTCAGACCTTTGTCTAAGACAACAAGTTCTTCTTTCGTGAGGGATATATCGCTCAGATTATATATACCCTGACCTCTTACATTTTCCTTTTCTTTGGATCCGTTAACCCTCTTTCCTCCCCTGCGTCCTCTGCTCTTGTACTTTTTTCGTGTATGGCCGCCACCTAAAAACTGAGCAAACTACTGCCGATAACTGGGAATTGTCACAGAGCAGATCGGCACTGATGATTAGTGCCCTAATGATCAGTGCCCAGCAGTACCACCCACCAGTGCCCATCAGTGTGCCCCATCAGTGCCACCCAGCAGTTGCGCCCATCAGTGCCGCCAGTCTGCGCCACCCAGTGTCACCCATCAGTGCCACCTATCAGCGACTATCATTGTATATCAGTGCAGCATCATCAGTGCCTCCTCATCGATGGTCACCAGTGCCACCTCATCAGTGCCACTGCACCAGTGCAGCCTATCAGTGCTGCCTATCTGTACCACCTCATCAGTGCCCATCAGTGCTGCCTACCAGTTTCCCATCAGTGCTGCCTCATCAACGCACATCATGAAGGAGAAAAATTACTTGTTTGCTAAATCTTATAATAGAAACAAAGAAACCCTTTTTTTAACATTTTTTGCCGCAGTCCCACTATAAGCCGTTGATCATTACCAGTAAAAAAAAAAAATCCCAGTATTTATGCCATTTGTAAACGCTATAACTTCCACGTAAACCAATTTACACATATTGGGATTTTTTTTTAGTAACATGTAGCAGAATACATTTTGGCCTAAATTTATGATGAAATTTTATTTTTTATTTTTTTTTACTTGATATGTTTTAATAGCAAAAAGTCAAAAATATTGTTTTTTTTTTCTCAAAATTGTTGGTCTGTTTTGTTTATAGAGCAAAAATTAGAAAAAGCACAGGTGATCAAATACCACCAAAAGAATGAAAGAAGGCCACTTGATTCGTATTAGGAGCATAGTAAATAAGAAAAAACACCATATTTCCTTCCAAATGACCTTTGACCAGAAGGTATCGTCCTTCCCTAACCCTTAAAACTTTACTTTCTGTAAATGAGCATATTTTTCAAAGGCATTGGCGAAAAAACAAAATTGGAAAATCCCTATGAATATATCTGGGAGTAAAAGAAGGGGCAAAATGTGTTTCCTGTAAAGCCACGATGTCTGCTCCCAAAAATTTATAATAGGAAAATAATTTAAGTCACTTAGAATGGGAGACTAATCCTTGACCATTATGGGAAAGCAAGTGAATCATGGCAGTGCATTGTTTTGAAGTAGATATGGAAAACAAGAAGTATAGCTATCATGAGGCAAACTCACCCATCCATGCAGATCATCAATTAACCAAAAACAGTTCAAAATTCTTGAGTTGACCCTCAAACAGAAAAAAATGAAAAAAATGAAGAAAGTAAGAAAAGAAAAGAGAAAGAGACCAAAGACAATAAGGCCAAAAAGTAGTATGTAACGTGAGATAACAAAATGTCAATATACTAGACACTAGGTCAAGGACCGAAAGAGTCTTCACAAAGTCAAACAATGGGGAGAGTCTTTTAAATAGGGAGAGTGTATAGACTTTTCCCGCACCCCCCGGGTCCACATAAAACATAGATAAAACTGTCAAAGCCACCATATTACTTTACCAAAGAATAATAATCAAAACCGTAAGGCAGTATGCATATACAAAGGCCAATGCCCCAGCGTGGGGCCACGGAGAGGCCTCCGTAAATTGTTTTATATCAGGAGCAAATAGAGTTTTCAAGACACCCAATGTGGTGTTGCAGATTTCTTCTGGGAAGCGGGGACCACAGAGGTGAGAGTGGGGGAGGGGGTCCATCAACTTTAGGCTAGTTCCAGGAGGAGGGGCTAAGGGAAATAAAGCCTAAGTTCAGCAAGAGTCTTTCCCCCTCAAGGAATGTAGAGAAAGAGTAGGATTTGCCATTAAAAAGAAACTGTAGACAAAATGGATAGTTCCATCGGTAGCGGATATCCCTCTGAATTAACAATGAGAATAGTGGTTTAAAAGGCCCTCCTCTTTTGGATGGTAGCTTGGGAGATGTCCGCGAAGACTTAAATCCGGTATCCATCGACCTCCAAATCTGAATGTTCTCTAGCGTAACGCATCACCGACTCTTTAACTCTGAAAAAGTGAGGCTTTACTATTATGTCCCGAGGAGGGCCATCCGGCCGCAAAGGGACCAAAGCCCTGTGTATATGATCAATTTCCAGATGAATTTCATCGATCATTAGTACTGCAGCATGGATCAGAGAACGGGCAATAGATAAAATATCTTTTACCATTTCAGGCAATCCTCTAATTCAAAAATTGCATCGCCTGGCACAATTCTCAAGATCATCTATTTTATTGTATGCCTCATCCAGGTGGTCTTGTAAGTTGGCAATGATGCTAGAATTTTGGGTCATTCTGTGAACTGTATCATCAACTTTAGATTCAATCTTCTCGAGACTATCCCCCAATTCCCGAAAATCTTATTTCAGGTCAGGAGGCCAACTTAGTGGTAGCTTTTTCCAGTTCCCGCTGTAACAAATCAGCAAAAAATGCAATGAGTATGGAATCCCCAGAATAGTGCGGGGAATCTTGGCTACTAGTTTGACTAATAAAGATATCCGCCATTTCCTTGTCTAGCTTGGAAGACGCTTGCAGCTTGTGAGGGAGACCCAAGAGGACTAGGGAGGGAGCCAGGAGGTGCAGGGAGGTCACTCACATGATCCATGGATCCGGAGGGATGTCTATCCAGAGAATCAGGAGTAGAACAGGGAGGCGCTGTCCCCTGTGGCCGCTGCTGTGACTCCTCAGTAGCCGATGAGGCCTTGGAGCCAGTGCCATCTTGCTTCCATTGCCCACCCTCTTCATCGCAGTGCGGGGTCCACCTGCGGACTTTCCAGACTGTTGGGTGGGCATAGGAGGAGCCCCGACATCTCCTCTAGTGGTATAGGTGTGTTCTGGGGGTGCAGGTATGTGGTAGCCCCTAATATCCCCCCTGGAGTGCCGAGATCATGCAGAGTGGTCAGCGAGTCATCCAGAGATCTTCGCACATGCGCAATCATATATTGGCCGTCCACACCCAGCCAATTACGGTACAAGTCACCCAGCATGGAGGATATAAAAGAGGGCAGGAAATAGGATATGGCCTCTTGGCTGCAGAGGCGTTTGTGTGAACCTCAAGCTGTTTTGGACCATATTTTGGTAAGATGTAGGCTCAATGTTAAGAGCTCTTTTTAAAGTTATGGTCACTGTATGGCCACTTAGGTGGTCTTCTATGAACTATCTCATAAGTATCTGTTTGGTTCTTTATAGCTGGTCTCCTTTGAATTGATGACTGTTACTGATATCTAGGTGGCAACGTTTGAGAGTGACAATCAGATCTTTTCTATCTTGGTCATTGTAACATATAGAGATGTTAGAAGTTTTAGAGGTGGAAAACAAGAAAAAAAAGTATTCTGAACCAATGGACTGCAGACATAGTACAGGAAATTACCAGAGACTGCGGACACAGTACAGTAGATGACTAGAGACTGCAGAAAGTAACAGGAGATGACCAGAGACTGCAGAAAGTACAGAAGATGACAAGAGACTGCGGACAGTACAGGGGATGACAAAGAGACTGAGGACAGTACAGGGGATGACCAGAGACTGCAGACATAGTACAGGGGATGACCAGAGACTGCAGACATAGTACAGGAGATGACCAGAGACTGCGGACATAGTACAGGGGATGACCAAGAGACTGCGGACACAGTACAGAGATACCAGAGACTGCGGACACAGTACAGGAGATGACCAGAGACTGCGGACACAGTACAGGAGATGACCAGAGACTGCGGACACAGTACAGGAGATGACCAGAGACTGCGGACACAGTACAGGAGATGACCAGAGACTGCGGACACAGTACAGGAGATGACCAGAGACTGCGGACACAGTACAGGAGATGACCAGAGACTGCATACACAGTACAGGAGATGACCAAGAGACTGCGGACACAGTACAGGAGATGACCAGAGACTGCGGACACAGTACAGGAGATGACCAGAGACTGCAGACAGTACAGGGGATGACCAGAGACTGCAGACATAGTACAGGAGATGACCAGAGACAGCGGACATAGTACAGGAGATGACCAGAGACTGCTGACATAGTACAGGAGATGACCAGAGACTGCGGACATAGTACAGGAGATGACCAAAGACTGCGGACACAGTACAGGAGATGACCAGAAACTGCGGACAGTACAGAGATGACCAGAGACTGCAGACAGTACAGGAGATGACCAGAGACTGCAGACAGTACAGGGGATGACCAGAGACTGCAGACAGTACAGGGGATGACCAGAGACTGCAGACAGTACAGGGGATGACCAGAGACTGCAGACAGTACAGCGGGATGACCAGAGACTGTAGACAGTACAGGGGATGACCAGAGACTGCAGACAGTACAGGGGATGACCAGAGACTGCAGAAAGTACAGAAGATGACAAGAGACTGCGGACAGTACAGGGGATGACAAAGAGACTGAGGACAGTACAGGGGATGACCAGAGACTGCAGACATAGTACAGGGGATGACCAGAGACTGCAGACATAGTACAGGAGATGACCAAGAGACTGCAGACATAGTACAGGGGATGACCAAGAGACTGCGGACATAGTACAGGAGATGACCAGAGACTGCGGACACAGTACAGGAGATGACCAGAGACTGCGGACACAGTACAGGAGATGACCAGAGACTGCGGACACAGTACAGGAGATGACCAGAGACTGCGGACACAGTACAGGAGATGACCAGAGACTGCGGACACAGTACAGGAGATGACCAGAGACTGCGGACACAGTACAGGAGATGACCAGAGACTGCGGACACAGTACAGGAGATGACCAGAGACTGCGGACACAGTACAGGAGATGACCAAGACTGCGGACACAGTACAGGAGATGACCAGAGACTGCGGACACAGTACAGGAGATGACCAGAGACTGCGGACACAGTACAGGAGATGACCAGAGACTGCAGACAGTACAGGGGATGACCAGAGACTGCAGACATAGTACAGGGATGACCAAGAGACTGCAGACAGTACAGGGGATGACCAGAGACTGCAGACATAGTACAGGGGATGACCAAGAGACTGCAGACACAGTACAGGAGGATGACCAGAGACTGCGGACACAGTACAGGAGATGACCAGAGACTGCGGACACAGTACAGGAGATGACCAGAGACTGTGGACACAGTACAGGAGATGACCAGAGACTGCGGACACAGTACAGGAGATGACCAGAGACTGCGGACACAGTACAGGAGATGAACAGAGACTGCGGACACAGTACAGGAGATGACCAGAGACTGCGGACACAGTACAGGAGATGACCAGAGACTGCAGACACAGTACAGGAGATGACCAGAGACTGCAGACAGTACAGGGGATGACCAGAGACTGCAGACATAGTACAGGAGATGACCAGAGACAGCGGACATTATACAGGAGATGACCAGAGACTGCTGACATAGTACAGGAGATGACCAGAGACTGCGGACATAGTACAGAGATGACCAAAGACTGCGGACACAGTACAGGAGATGACCAGAAACTGTGGACAGTACAGGAGATGACCAGAGACTGCAGACAGTACAGGGATGACCAGAGACTGCAGACAGTACAGGGGATGACCAGAGACTGCAGACCAGTACAGGGGATGACCAGAGACTGCAGATAGTACAGGGATGACAGAGACTGCAGACAGTACAGCGGATGACCAGAGACTGCAGACAGTACAGGGGATGACCAGAGACTGCAGACAGTACAGGGGGATGACCAGAGACTGCAGACAGTACAGGGGATGACCAAGAGACTGCAGACAGTACAGGAGATGACCAAGAGACTGCAGACAGTACAGGGGATGACCAAGAGACTGCAGACCTTTGGGGAGGGAGGGGGAGTGGGTACCTGAATTTGACAGCCGAGTGCCCACTGCACATGTGCAAGAAGCGCTGCGCTTTGTGAATGGTCGGCATCTTCAGGGACCTGTCATGTGTCCCAGAAGACGCTGAACCATTCACAAAGCGTTGAACTTCTCGCGCATGCGCAGTGGGCACCTGCTATCACAGCCCACACTAAAGATGCTAGCGCTGGAAGACTGTACAGTGCTAGACCGAGGAACAGGTAAGGTTCTGCTGCAGAGAAGAGCAAAGCGGCCAGCCTGGTATTCTGACACACGGCGGTGGCAGCGGGAATACTGGACCGACCGCTCCATATTCACTCCATAAGACGCACTGACATTTTACCCCCTTTATTTGGGGGAAAAAGTGCGTCTTATGGAGCGAAAAATATGGTATATATGTTTTGTTTAGAAAGCTCTATTTGTGTAAGAGAAATTATATGCATTTTGTTTAGAAAGCATTCTATTTATGTGAAAGAAATTATATTAATTTTGTTTAAGTACAGTGTTGCAATTACCAGTTAAAGTAGTGCAGTGCTGAAAAGCAATAAATGTCCTGGTCATGAAGGGGTAAACAGGACCTAAAGTGGTTAAATAGGGCCAATACTCCTCGTCACCATGATAGTATTTCCCTGCCACATGCACCATAAGCACTCCTCCATATATCACCAGTCAGCTCTAGGAAACAAAAACAGCCCTCAGTGTGCAATATATTATCACACCAGTCAAATTTATTAGGCAGCAGGGTTACAATGACACTCACAGAATGAGTACATTTCAGCTAGTGTACATAGAAACAATTGCCTTTTTTTTCATACAATATTTTCCCCCTTAAGGAAAGCTTTGGATTCAGATACTATACCAAGATGGCCAACTTCCAGTTCTGCCCAGCGTGATGATGTCATCAGGTCATGCACTGATGCGCGTTTCGTCATTCAATCATGACTTTTTGTTTGTATGTATTTTGCTACTGGTTGGGATGAAGAAATGCCATTCTGCCTATGAAGCCATATGAAATATATATTAATCCTTTACTACTAAACTAAACTAAAGAAGAAAGTTTTTGGCTTTAGATTTGATTTGAGAGCTCAGTATAGACTTTACCTGACTGGCATACTTATTCAGTGCTAAATCCAGAGGATCAGCATATTAACCAGCATTTTGGAGGTTGGCAATTGCATCTTCCAGATTTATGTCAGTACTAGTTTACTTTAGTCTGCAAAGTAGCCCACGGGAGGATAGGAATACTTTGTGGACATGTATAATAAAAAAGGTTAAGGGCTCATGCACACAGGGAGTTCTATGCTGTATGCTGCACACGTGTTTTGCTTGCATCCAAAAAAAGCCCAGATTTTACTCTGTATGGGCCAGACTGCTGCCTATGTAGATGAGCCCTGAACCCTAAGGGATTCAAAGTGTGTGTTTTTTTACAAACAATACAAGAAGGGTTTTCAAGACAAAATAAAGATTTGGGTACAGCCTGTGTGACTTCATTGGGTTATAAGTGACAATTAAAGTGCTTCATATAGTTATATGTGACAATTTAAATGCTTTGTAAATGCAGCAAATGTTCAATTATGAAAAGAGGGTGAATGATTTGCACAGTATTTGTTGCTTGGAAAATATATGTCTGATACAATAAAGGAGCCTGCTTTCTGGTTTTACAGATGGGCCCCTCAGTTTTCACTTTTCCTCTCCTGAGTGAAATGTGTTTTTCTTTTTTTTTTTGGGGGGGGGGGGGGGGGGGCGTATATTATGTACATTAATTATACACATAGTAGATGTACCATAGCAAACAACTCTAGATCTGACACAGACATCTAGTGGTTAGCTTTAATTGTTGTTTTGGCACAATAGCTTTTCAAGAAAAATGCAAATAAAAAGGTGAGAACAAGGAGACATACAAATAAACATCTTAACATTTCTGTTTTCAATATTTTTATTGAAATTTTTTGTCCACAATAAAAGAGATTTCAAGGCGTATTACAATAATTGTGGATCCTCTGCAATGCGGAGTACATGTAGATAATATAGTGAATAATGCACTGCGAGGAAACAAAAGGTGTAAGCCAATCAAACTTAGTTATACCGAGCTGCATGGTCTGTGAAGATTAGCCTCAAGCATACATCTAGAACATTTCTCTATAACCATCTAATATTTTCCAGGCTTCCTAAAGTCTGAGGGCCATAGCCCATTAGTGAGGTATATGGTAATACACGTACATAATACACATTATAATTCAATAATAATAAACTATTTTGATTGCAAGGTACGTCTTACATAGTCATAAATTCGTGCTGCTTCCTCATGGGGAGGGAGATCGCACCATTTTTCGTACAAAAACAAACTTCACCCTGAGTTTTCATTAACACAACTAAATTAAAGATGAGTAGGCCAGAGAGCCGAAAAAAGATACGAAAAAGGAAGGGAGTGTGTGTGTGGGGGAGGGGGAAGTGACTCCACACTCCAATCCTTACCCTCCAGAAAGCATCTTAATCAGGTAAAATCTGAGGATCACTAGTCAAATATTTGATCCGCAGGTCCCACACCCTCACAAACACCTTCATTTTGTCATTTAGAAATGCTTGTTTATCATTATCCAGGAATGTTTGAGCTTGAGCTGATCAAAGGGAATGATAGCTGACTGCCAATTCTTTTAAACATTTCCATATATAAAAATCATAGAACAGTGACTGTGATTGGTTATTTTCTGATGTTTTTATTATGTTCTTACACATTGGGGTTGGTTTACTAAAGGCAAGTAGACTTTGCAAAGTGCAGTTGCTCTAGAGTTAGTAAATGAGTAGAAGCTTTGCTGACTTTCATCATCCAGTTACGTGGAAGCAAAAAAAGCTATTTTTTTTTAGAGGAGCAACTGCACGTGCAACTGCATGTGCCGTCAGTAAATCAACCCCATTGCGCCTACACATTGCCCTTCCTGCTAGAGCTGCCATTCTCAACCACTATTCTATGGAACCCCAGGGTTCCTCCAGAGGTTGCAAGTTGTATTTAAAGCGGTATTAAACCAAAAAATGTTATATATATTGCCGCTTACAAATCCTTGGATGTGGTGACTGCATCAATTTTTTTTTTTTTTAGGCTTTTTCCCGTTTTCACCTGGTGATCTGGTCAGTAACACACCTCCTGTATTAGAGTGCCTTCAATCTGAATAAATGAGCACAGGAGGCACCTTTGGACAGCAGCATTGTCAGTCTGGGGAAGGGGAGTGTTATCTGTACTAGCAGATTTATATACACTAACAAATTGAAGCCAAACTCCAGCTAATAATAAAATGTGAAAAATGACCATTTAAGCACTCCTGTCAGTTGTAAATGGTTTGTCGTGTCCATGAAACTGATATTGATCTGCAGGAGAGCTTGCTTATTAGAAGAACAACAGACTTACTGGCTGGATCACAAGGTGGAAATAAAATAAAAATGAATGCAGCCATCACATCTATTAATTGGTAAGCTGCAATATAAAATATATTATTTTGCTTTTGGGTTTAATATTGCTTTACGTAGTCAGCAGTGGCAAACCAATCTGTTGCCTGATGGAGCCTCTGTAGTTCTGGAACCATCATCACCTGGCAGAGTCAGTGGTGAAGGACCAGAGCAGTTTCTTCCCACTTCCTTAAGTGACCATTGACACCAGTGAACTCTCTACAAAAAGGTGAAATTCCTCCCTCTGACCACCTATGTAAGGGAGCCATCTCCTACTGACCACCAATGTAAGTAAGAGCTACCATGACCACCGATGTTCTGAGGCCCTTTTCCACCAAGCACAAATTTACACTGATCACCTTTTCCACTGACCTCCAGGGTGAGGGATCAATAAAATGTTTACTGTCTACTTTTCTGTTATTTTCTTCATAATAATCTGATTAATGCTGAAAATAATTTTCCTGTATAGTACGGGGGGTGGGGGATCTGCTTTTGTGTCA